GTCAATGAATGTACGTATTTTATGAAAAAAAAAATTGTTTAATATTATTGATTTAAAGCAGAATGTAAATTTTTTAATTGTCTCCATTAATGTATTCTAAGTTAAATATCAAATTGTTATTAGTCGATTCGACTTATCATGATATTAACATGTCTGTACACTCCAAAGAGCGATTTCCGGCTGTTTGTTTCGGTGTCCTCCATAAAAACGTAGAGATATTGTTACAATTCACATCTGAATAGAAAAATTGAATTTGACCATTTATTACTGTTCATACAATATTGTTTTCTTCAAGATAATTTTCCAACAAGCTGCATAGGTCAATTTTATTGCAGGGCAACCCTGTACGTGTGCAAACGGGAACGTGTTCACACATCGCACCGATGGAATTCACACAGAAGAGGTCCCGGATCGCAGTGACGCGATGACGCAAAGCACACACGTGCGGTTTACGTGCTTGCACACCACCACACCGCGCCACAGAGAGGAGCGACGCGGACACTCCGGTCTGCCTGCCTGCCTGCCTGGCCAGAGCACGAAATATTTGAGTTGCTTGGCAAACACGTAAATGTAAACGCCGCGTTTACACTGTCGTTTACTTTTCGCTCTCCCCTGCTGCTTCCGCGCCTCCTGCACCGCCTGAAGCCCCTCCGGGCGACTTCGAGCTACGACCAAGAAACCTCGACGACGTTCCCGGATAACGGTTAAGCAAAGAGGCGGCGGTGACGAAGGAGGGTGGGTGGCGAAGGAAATAGAGGCGAATAGAGACTGTGTCGTCGTCGAGAACGGAAGGTGACGGCTATGTGGCGTGGTAGAGACGGCGACAGCGACGGCTGCGAGCGATGAGAAGCCGACCGGGTGTAGGGAGTCAAGAGAGGAGGTTGAAGGCGGAGGTGGCGTCGCGACGACGCTGGCGGGGAACTCGAGTCGACTAACCGTCAGGTAAATATTGACCGAGCGGGATATTGCTCCCGATGCTTGTTTGTTTATTTCAATACCCGTGACCGATGGGCTCGATAGGGGTTGATTGTGCGCGTAGGAGGAAGAGAACATCATACGGGCGCGCGCACATCTCCACGTGTGTGTTTATACATGATCCCAGCAGCGCATGTTGCATGTTTTCGTGTTCGAGAATATATTTGAGTAGTGATTAGACTCATAAAAAGTATATTTTGTTACATGAATTACATGAATATTTATGGGTTTATTTTTACAGTATTAAATAAAACAAATGAATAGACAAAATGATACAGTAAGTAAATTTGAAACTTTTATCAAAAAGGCACACAAGAATGATCAGTTATTTCTTCTTATCTCCTACGGGAAAAACAAACATTTATTTCTCTGCGAGTAAACAGAAAGCACATTCATAGGAATTGTCTCATTTACCAAAAAGCGTGATTACATCCTCGGAGATATTTCGAATGCAACCTGGCAGATAACTAAGTTCATAAAAACTACACTTTTTTCTACGATGACACATTACGTCGTCGTAGCAATGATTAAAGCGCGGTGGCGAAATAATTAAAACGTTCGGCAATTTCCGGAGCGGAGTTCTTATTTTCCGCTAAAGCGAAACCGCTGCTAGCCGCCGAGCAGTCACGATAATTCGAGCCATTAAAACAGTATAAACTTCTTCCGCCGTCGAGGTAGGGGTTGTTACCCAACGGCGATGTTTAGTTCTTATTCTTTTCCTCTCTCGTTACTTTCATTTATTTTTTCTTTTCTTTTTTTTAATCAGTCGGTTGAGCACTACATCACCGAGTCGCATCGCGGTTTTACTGACGCTACAATCTTCTGCTGAAGCATCGTTGCATAATTTGCGCGCCACGAATATCATTATCGCGAAAGTTGAGAAGCGAAGAACTTCAATGTAACCTGGCGCGTTACGTGAAACACCGCGCGTGTTTCCGTAGTAGTAGTAGTAGTAATATATCTATATGTACATCTGCCTGCATACATGTAAGTATGTGTCGATACATTGCCGGCCAAAATTATTGCATCCATCCGAGTACATTGCCCTTTTTTCAGAATAATTTTACAATTTAGCCTTTACCCACTAGTAATGCGGTAATTTTACTTCAAGTATTGGATATCAAAGCGGTTCGTTATTAGGTTCATTATTATCCAAGTCAATTTTACTTTATAATTCTATTGGAACGTGAACACGTTTACAAAATTCAAATGACGTATGAAGTAGGGATGATTACATACATCTAATTGAATCTCCTTAAGAATACTAATTTTCAACAGAGGCTTCGTGCTTCAAGCTCTAAATTTCTATTCATGCATCAGGTTATTACATGACCAGAAGCATCATCCATCATAAACGTTTGTTTTATCTATTATTTCAAATTGGTTGGTTGATTTATAGTGGAAATCAAATATACGTCAAAAACTCAATCCCGGCTTACTCACAGAAAATGTTGTCAATTGTAAATATATTTATACATGTACAAATCAAATATGAGAATAAATTAGTAATCTACTAATATTATAAATTATTCCTAATGTATATAATCACGTGCTACTGCACTTTCAGTTTCAAACAAGTAAAAAGAACATAATTAAATGAAAGTAAAAATCACTAAAGACACCAATGCACTTGGCCTTCATGAAATTAGATGAATTATGGAATAACGAATTAAAATGTAAATTTTGACTGACTTTTGATACTTGATACTTCCAGTTGTGTAGTGGATCACCGTGTCAAATAACATCGCATAGCATCAGGTTGCATTTTCTGAGACATCGCCGTGTATGTACATGCCGCGAATCGACAAGGTACATAATTAACGAGATTGCACGTGAAACAGCCTCGTCGATCAACTGTACAATACTTACCCACGGCTTTGTATAAGTGTTCACAGTTTACAGTGTTCACGCGATGTTGCTGGTGGTCGTACATGCATGTACTCGCACACGTACACAGAGGAACGAGGGAACTGCGGATCCGTTACGTTACGTACGATGTCGAGGCCCTGGGTCGAAGGCCGCGCGGATTAGCAGTTATTAATTAAGCTTAATTGTTTCTGTTGGGTCGACGCCGATCGGGTTTACAAGGTGTACGCGTGTCTACCATCGCCGACAACGAGCCGAGGAACACGTGCGTCCGCGGACAGGCTGTCTGCCACGCCACGTGGACCGCTATTATGGTAGATAATGCATACATGTGTACGTGTACGGATGCGGACGCTATGTGCGTGCCGCGTTCCATGTGAATGTATTCAGAAGGAACATCGACGCCCACGCGTGTGCACAGACGCGTGGAGTCACTGGAGCGCGTGTGAACAATTATCCGACGACATGGTGTCAGACTATGTTAGAAGAGATATGTTCATCCTCGCCTGACATTGTTAGGAAAACCGCATTATCTATTTAGATACATTGTTCAAAAATTGTCCTGTGACAGCCAGCTAATTCATTTAATAGCATTTTTGAATTTCGATATGATTTTCCTACAACACTCGTAATTGGCATGTTGCAAAATCAATGCAGATGATGTATCTCGATGAATTTCGACGAAATTAAAATTGAACCCAGGCGAAACAACGGTTCAGCGTTTCGAATTGCAAACACAACGACGCGAATCATTTTAATGGGTTCTTTGCGATATCTATCGCTGAACTGATTTTTGCCCGCGTAATTGGAAACGATATTACGCTCGTTTTCATTGTATTGTCGCTATTGTTATCGTTCGCATATGCAATTAGTGTGTCGCGAAAATACAGATAATTATCGCCTAATGAAATGCCATTAATTACTATGTTTCTTTGTTTAATATAGCCTACGCGGAGGGCTTTTGAATCGCAGACAAACCGCATGCGGCGACTCATTACCAAGAGTTGTTTTATACCCTGGCCGCGTTGTAGCGCAACTTTAACCCGTCTCACCAAATATGCAGCTAATTGTAAGTCTAACCCTGTTACTATCTCCCCCTCCCCCCTCCTCTACGCAGTACGGTACGTGCGGTCGCTAAGAATGAGATTGAATTCGATCGAAATTCTCAACAGTCAGCGGTTGTGTTACTCGGAACAGTATAGGTCTAATGTCGCGTTCGCGAAACAGCAACATGAGTCATCCTCCTTATCGGAGTCTAAACTCAACTTACCTGTATTTGATATTGCAATTTGCGCTGTAAACAACACTCTAGTTTATTACGTGTCGTCGATTTGTGAAGACATTCCTTTTAATATTTTTTATTATCGGAGTGCTCAACTTTATAGATCAATTTGTAATAAGAAAATAACGACACCGATATTTTTTATGAATAATTTTTGGGATATATAAAGTGCAAATATGTAATTTTACTCTTTCATGTGTTATTTGTATTAGTAAAAAATTCTGATTGTTCCACAAATTAAAAATAAATAAATTTATTTGAATTTATCTGAACTGGTTGAATAAAAATTATTTTCTTTTACGTTCAAAAATTGGTGTAGATTAATTTGAAAGCTATTTTATAGCGAATTCAGTTTGAGAGCAACGTTTACCAAAAATAATACACTTCATTTAGATACCAATAATATTCGTAAGTACAGGTAGTAGAGAAAAGGTAGCCTAAAATATAAAAATAACAGAGAATTCTCTTGTATTGTGTATGAAATATCCCGAAACTTGCGCTTTGTTTTCGAAATTGCGCTTCCGATTCATCCACATTGGGTTATCGATAGATCCAGGTTTTTTAATTGTACACTCATGTTTTTCAATTGAATTACCATCACGACGTTAATTGTCCTATTCAGCCTCGATGAAACAATTTTATAAGCACAACGTAGGTAGGTATGTGCGGCCAGCATCGATCCACAAATACCAAGTGATACACGCCTACCGTTTATGAATTTAGCGTATCTGCTTTATTTTCTCGAAATCTCATCGATTCATCCTCTCAATGAATCAATTCGAGCCGTTTAAAAATCGCGAGCAACCGGATGGCACCATAACTGGTCGATGTCACATTCAATCATCTCGAAAACGAAAAAAAATACCCTTTTCATTCACTTGATGTATTTTAATTAAAAGGACTTGTGCTCTTTAAATCTCAATCGCTTTTTCCCTTTTATGTTCACTTGATTCAACTGCAATAAGTGAAGTCAATTTCTCAAAATATAAAATCCGGAATGTCAAGTTGCGATCCAATAATTTTATTGAAAGTCTTTACATGAGAAAGTAACGAAAATAAGAGAAAAAATATCTTAAACATTATATGATTTCTTCTTTATCCATTTTTCTCAATTTGTCTTATCATTAACGTATATAGGAGTGAAACGTTATCGCTATTACTTGAATACACGATTGGGAACGATTTGAGCGTCACTGCGAAACACTTGATTACGTCAGTTAAGCGGTCGCGGCTCAATTCCGACTACGAGCTAGTCGCCAACCCCTTTTCCGAAACTACCACTGGGCCACCCACGCGCACCCCTTTGTCCGTGGCCGTCTCCATTTCCTCCCTACCGTCGTTCGCCTCGTTCCTCTGCTTGCTACCGCATTAAACCCAACTCTCTACCCTCGAGCTTCCTTCGTTGTTTGGTACCATCATCCCGTTAACTATTTCTGTCTCCGTTCTTCTCATTGTCAACTTACACTATGTAAAGAGTAGTAAAAACGACCAAATAGTCGTAACAAAATTATACTCTTCTGTATAATTTTCATCAAGGTTTACGGTTCCACAGTCGTTATTTTGCACAGTTTAAATTTGTTACTGCGACTGAATCGCTAATATAAATAATCAAATCAATATGCTGTTGCTCCATCGATTTCATGACTGATGACTGGACACGACAAGATAAGCTAAAAATCGGGGATACAAGTTGTATGATTTATCTATTTTTATATCATATTAAAAAGATGTATTTGATTTATGCTTTCATTTGTACATAAACATTTCTCCCAAGCCAGTATCTAAATTAATATAATTCTTCATTTAATATGACTTTAGAATGTAGTATTACAGAAACCTAAATTTCAATTGCTTATTAGCAAACGTAGGTACATAGATACATATCCTTTTTGTAGCTACTGTATACATATACATCTATAAGCGTGTTCATTATCGGATGCACTGATTGGGTTAAGTATTAGGTCTTTGGCCTCCGGCACTAAGCAGTGGCGAAGGCAGTATCAGCAGCCTACATCGAAGCCTTGCTTCGAGGTACTAAACGTAATTAAACGGATAGTTTCCGCATTAGCCGCGATTGGATAATCATTCATCGATTATCTTGGCTACGCGGGGTGACAGACAATATGGTAGTGCAACGTAGGCGTGCGCGCACGAACGCGCACCCGCTTCCTTTCCTATTCAGGAAACGCGTGCATCACGCTCAGTTCTGCCGGCTTGCATACCGGTTGATCATTGTTGTATCTTCCATGATAGGATCGCTAAATCTGTTTAAAAAATGTTTTTAACACAATATTATTGTGCTACATTGTATTGTCATTCACAAATACATGAATGTGCAAGATTTGAGCTGGATAGCTTATTAGAAAATAATTTATAAATCAATGCTAACTATAAATGAGTTAAATGAAAGCGTATAAGTAAACCTTTTTAGACAAATACATTATTTAGTAGATATGTGACAATGAATACTTTGACAATAAATACTTGATACGTTTTAAGTCTTTTAAAAAGGCGCGTTGGTACGCGCGACGCCTTTTAATCACGTAGCTGTTTGCCGGGCACTGGGCACCGGTTTCGTGGCTCTAGTATCTCGCATCGCAGACCGACAAGGGGTGATTTATCTGGCAGAAATTACTGATAATTATTTCGGCCGTCCAGCCGCGACCACCGCCGCCACCAGTTTCGAGTGAAACATCCCCGTTGACGTTGATTACACCACACGGTAACGTGAAAGCAGGATGGAGCAACAGTCGAGGCCGAGGCATATTAGAGCTCGGCTCGATGCTCGATCGGAGATATCCCCAGGAGGGTTGCTTGTTCTTCGATGATACGGCCGATTTACGTGCCATAAATGGGAGGGTGTTAGTAGGTACGCGTGCACTGTGCATCGTGCTTCCGTTTACTGATCCATAGCCAATGGAATTAAGATTAATCCGTTGGAATCGCCACGCGATTATTCAAGATGCCCGGTTTTATTGCGCCACGTTCAATGTCGTGAGTTACGATCTGATGAATCATTTGCGAGTCACCTGTCGCGAAAAATTTTATCGCCGGTAATAAGAGAGTGTTAATGAGAAATGGAACTCTTGATGGATCGCCTGTTTGACCACGGCGAATGGTTTATGTCCATGAAATTAATGATAAGATTATCGCATCAATTCTTTTTTCCCCCTTTCAAGTCGGCTTCTCTTTCTTCGTATCTCATTCCAGGAAATATTACGTGTCGCATTAAATTTTATTCAGACGGTCAACAGGCGCTACTGATTGTATCACTTCAATTAGAAGACTATGGATTTTATATATTTATAGAAAAATTGTATCTGTAGAAACCATAGAACCAATACATTCACTACGCAAGAATATACATTTTTTAAATTGATATAAAAAATATTTTTTTAAATATCCTCCAAACGATTTTGTAACAGGACTACAGATCACTTGAAGGAATGAAACGAACGTTTCAATCAAACTGACAATGAGACTAAAATGGGGAACGTGAACATTCGACATCGCGTCACGAAGTTAAAGGAGGAATCTCGCGTGCGCGTTAAGAATCACGTACGATACGTGCGTGCGTGCAAAAAATAGACCGATTGGCGAACACCCTGGGGAAAGGATGATGGCACGGAAGTTATGCAAAAGCTGTGTTTGCGGCAGCGGTGAATTATGTAAGAAAGGCGGCCATGGCCCTTTAATTAATACCATTTCTCGTGACGATCGAAAAGGCGACTTGGCCGAACCTAACGCCGATTTGCTGTTCGAATTCTACGGATGCCTGCACGCGACACGACACAAACACGAATACCCTGGATGATCGATTTCGTCATACTTTCTTTCTCCGATTTAGGTTTTACAAAGAATCCTCCGTCCTCCGTGAATACTGAGTCCCAAAAAAAAAATGATGAGATTTTTTATAGCTATTGGGTTTCGGTTATAAAATATTATTTAAGATAATCATTGTGGTCTTCAATTCTTACTATTATGATACCTATTCGATCTTATTAAGATATCTTATGAAACCAATAGAAAAGTACATAGATATAAAAATATAATTACAAATGTATGTACAGCATTATAATCTACTGTATCTAATAAAATTAATGAATACGTTATACACTTATATGAAACTGTATTGCATACTGTACATAATGTACTGTACATAAATCTGTATATGTAACTACAAACATAATTGTGAAATGTGAATTTTATATTAAAAATCTGCAAAACAATTTTAATTGTTCTCAATTTAAGGAAACAGTCAGCCTCAGTTTTCGAATTTCAAACTTTATCTCAAGACGCGGAATTTCGATTACCGCGAATTCCTCACAACTTCGCCAACCGTTTTCTCCACCCGAATTGAACGAGAACATCGTCTGAAACCGTTAAACTGATTAGCCACCGAGAACTATGTAACTGGAAGTCGATACCGTGGAAATGAAGTGGAAAGCCCGCAATATCGGAACAAGCTTTCGCTTCTAGTAAATAAGAAGCAAACAAACCGCGCCAAGTCAGTCTATCCTTCTTTTTACGATGTTCCGTGTGGTGGTGCCGCAGCAACACACGTTCGCGTGTTTTTCCTTTCCTTTTACCAGGAACACCTTCCCGATGCCCTTTTCCACCGGAGCAAGGGTATACGGCAAAACGATTTCTGTGAGAAAATGCTCGAGGGCTCAAGGTGGAGAAGGAACGAGCGGCGAGAAGAATGAAAGTCGATCGAAAACGTCGAAAGGTTACCTTTTTCCATCTCTTCTTTATCTTTCGCCTCTTTCTATTTTCTGGTTTTGTTGCTTTAACTTAGAAGTCGAGGTGGCCGCTGTTCCCGCAGGCCGATTTCGCTTAATTCGAGAGGAGTCCACTGGGGAATTCGCGGAAAAGGAAGAAGCTGAACAGAAAACTTTAGAGAATCTGCCGGAACGTTTATCTGCACCCGCCGCTCGGGATATAATTACGCTGCTAATCGCGCGAACGAATTCTTTCCAACGCGTTCCGAATTTCGAGAAGAGCTCGAAGACGAATACCGAAGAATTAAGATTTACGTTGAAGGATCATGGTGTACATATGTGCTACCACATTTTTTTAATGTGGATCAGAATAGCTAAAATGTTTGTGAAAACGTTCTCTATTTCAATAAAACTACTGACATCCTACTGGATGGTTTAAAACAGA